TCTAGAAAGAAAATAATATATAGGAGAGAAAGAAGAGAAGAATAAAAATATACAGAAATAACAGAAAATATAACTAAAAGCACTTGCACCTTTTACAGCTGTACCACCAACTTGCACTATTTTATTATTATTTTTTAGTTACATTCGGTTTCATTAGTTTTGTTTGGATCCTCTTTTAAATTGACTGGACTGTAGTTGTTAAGCGCGCATGTAACAACTGTAATATTGTTTATAAAATTGGAGAACAAATATCTATAATAAGTCTGCCTATAAATTTCCGTTTTCTACTGTAATAAACTCGTACATATTATATACAAATAATATAGAATAACTAAAGAAATTCATCACAAACGTAATAGCTATAATCATACTATATGGGCGTTTTGCCTATATTTATATAAAACTACTTAAAAGATATAAAAGAGCTCTAGTCAGATCAAAGAAGGCGTGACTATGGTAATTTTTCTTGATGTGATTGTACAACTTCTTATACCACGAAACATATATGCATTTATGTTTAAACACATATATGCATATATATAGATAATGACCAAACACACAAAACTATATCACATTATAATATACACTGAAATAACATCCAAGCCATATTACGGTGTTGAGGTTAAAATGTTGAAAGTAATAAGATTTATCAACATATTAGTTATTTTATATCACAAATGCATTCTTTCACAGTTTTAACAATTACCGTGAAGAAAATAAAATTTGATATGTTTGTAATACTATAAGTTATTATATAATGGTGTTTTTATATCTCTAATAATTGTAGAACGTTTATTTTTTTTTTATATAACAATAGAAGATAGGTGTGAATTGGGTATAAAGTCATCGTTTATACTTGCAATATAGCACATCTAGTCGTTCACGCGACATAAGATAATGCGAAAATATCACTTTTTTGAATAGCCTAGTGTCCTCTTTGGGAACTCCGGCTAAGAGAAGCTACGTAAGACATAAATGCCGTATAATTGACGTTATAGATAACGACTGATTCGTAATTACTTTAATCTTTAGCGTTGCTAGTTGGTAGTCACTTTTGTTCAATATTTGATGTATAATACAATGGAGATAGTCATTTGTGTGGAAACGCTAAAAAATGTGCCTTTTCAAACTTCCGAGTTTTGACTTACGAAGTAAAGGAAAATAGTTTAATACTAGTTAGGAAAGATAATTAATTACTATAAAAGTGTGGGACTGTTCAGTAATAATTATAATTCTGGAAAATTTTCATCAAGTTTTACATTTTATATATAATTTTCACCACTTATCAGCTTACGATTCGTTGGGGCGAATTGATTACATATATCACGGTAGTACGTTGTTTGGTATTGTAGTTACACAGGATAACCCTTCTCACTGGTTTCTGCGCCAAGCAAGGCTCGAGCCCTTCACATACATTTACTATGACGTTACTTTCATGGGGATAAGGATATCTGCTTCTTCATGTGTATGCTTTTTCAGGTAATCATCAATATCACCCAAAACAGATGTACCATAGACGACAACAACATTTTTGTCTTGAAGAAAGTTGTCATGAAGAACAGCATCACTGTTACAACCCTTGGCCTCTTAGGTTGCAACAAATCTGCATTCAACTTTCTTTGTATTTAGGTCCAAGGAATAGATCCCACCAAAATCCTCACCTCATTACTGGGGTGTCATTAAAATACATGCGTGGATTTCGTACAGAATATATTAACAAACAAACAATAAACAACATATCAGTAGGTAGAAAATAAACAAATACAAACTAAATCTGATCAAATAATTGACTCAACCAAGTGACAAAATAATGAAGATAACAGTAAAGACAAAACACTTATTTAGTTCAGTAACTACTATGAACAACGTGGTATATCCACCACAGGAAACCTCATAAATAAGTAAGTTATTTTCCGTGGAATTCTAAAATATGATTAACAGCAATCTCACATATAATACTTGGTGTTCTAAAACTCGAGCAAGGTTCACACGTTATACCACAGGAATATACTGTACAATAAGAAAGGAGATACCTTAACTTATCACTGCCAGCCCCATACTAGCGTCCGCATGACAGGAAATAAACAAACAAGCAGAAATGACGTCGCCAAACAAAAAGACGTTCGTTGCGGTCTAATAACATTGAACTCTCACTCAAACATCTCCCCATAATTTAAAAGTTGAAGAATGTGGAATAAAAATTTTTTCTCAACACGAGATGAGTGTCCTTAATAATATTATCACAGCCCTTTATGTGATTGATTTTCTATATTATAGGGTTGACGACTAATGACCACGTAACAGTCTTTGGCAAGGAAGATTAAGGTGGTATGTACTAGATCCATTCTTGGGGTAGGTTTACGGTGAAATTGAACTCTGCTGGAACGATTGAAGAGTTCAAGGAGTCGTAATGTTGTGCCTTGTAATAATGCCGACGACGACCAGATAATCTAAATAGGCGTACACTCAAAACCAAGACTGATGTCACTATATGCATCGCTCCCTTTTTCATTTTCTCCTGTACTTCTGACAGATTTTCACGAGCAATCTCACCTACTCTCTTCAGTTGCTCTTTAAACTTCTCTTCATACACTGACAAAGGGTCTTTTATCTGATTACTTATCCTATCAACACAGTCATAGGACCTCTTGCAGCATGACCAAAAATCATTTCAAAGCGACTGAATCCTAGGGAATGTTGGAGACTCTCTCTTATGGCAAACAACATAAGTGGCACTCCTTCATCCCAATTCTTATCAGACTCCATACAATATTTTCTAAGCATAGATTTAAAAGTCTGGTGGAACCGCTCTAGGGCACCTTGGGTTTGAGGGTGGTACGCAGAAGCTAAGTTTTGTTTAATACCCAATTCATTCATCACCTGCTGGAAAGGAAAGAAGTGAAGTTAGTACCTGATCCATGTGTACAACTCTAGGAATGCCATATTTAGTGAAGAAGTTAGTCAGAGTCTTTACCACACTCTTTGCTTTGATGTTTCACAATGGTCTAGCCTCTGGGTACCTGGTGGTAGTACACATAATTGTTAACAAATATTGGTGGCCACATCGAGTTTTTGCGAGAGGACCTACACAATCAATTATAACCCTGCTAAATGGCTCATCTACCACAGGAATGGGTTTTAGGGGAGCAGGTTTTATGACCTGCTGTTACAATTCAATTCAATTCAATTCAAAAGCACTTGCACCTTTTACAGCTGTACCACCAACTTGCAATATTTTATTATTATTTTTTAGTTACATTCGGTTTCATTAGTTTTGTTTGGATCTTCTCTTAAATTGACTGGACTGTAGTTGTTAAGCGCGCATGTAACAACTGAAATATTGTTTATAAAATTGGCGAACGCAATATCTATAATAGGTTTACCTATAAATTTCCCGTTTTTCTGTAATAAACTCGGTACATATTATATACAAATAATATAGAATAACTAAGAAATTCATCACAAACGTAATAGCTATAATCAACACTATAATGGGCGTTTTACCTATATTTATAAAACTATAAAGATATAAAGAGCTCTAGTCAGATCAAAGAAGGCGTGACTATGGTATTTTTCTTGATGTAGTGTACAACTTCTTATACAGAAACATATATGCATTTATGTTAAACACATATATGCATATATATAGATGTGACCAAACACACAAAACTATATCACATTATAAATATACACTGAAATAACATCCAAGCCATATTACGGTATTCAGGTTAAAATGTTGAAAGTAATAAGATTTATCCAACATATTAGTTATTTTATATCACAAATGCACATTCTTTCACAGTTTTCACAATTACCAAATGAAGAAAAATAAAATTTGATATGTTTGTAATACTATAAGTTATTATCTGTTGGTGTTTTTTTATATCTACCATAATAACTACAAGAACGTTTATTTTGTATAAAAATATTAGATAGGAAAATTGGGTTGAACCTTGTCTGTATGCACGCATAAAATTAATATTACACATCTTGTCGTTAACGCGACATAAGATGTGCTAAGAGAAATATCAATTTTTTAATAGCCAGGCGTTCCCTTCGGAACTCTGGCTAAGAAACGCTACATCATGCAATATTGCCACATAATTGACGTTAAAGTACTTTGACTGATTTTGTATTTTTTTTAATCTTGACTGTTGCTAGTTGCTAGTTGGGGGTCAATTTTGTTCAATACTTGATGTATAATACAATGCTTGGGGTGATATTCTTTGACTCTCAAAGTGCTTTGAAATAAATGAACAGCCCGTCAGGCTCTATGTCTAAAGTTGTTTGTGATATTAAAAGGAATGTTATAACTGCCAATGAGAACAACTTTCGTATCGAATTTGTGTGGATTCCGTTCCATGTAACTTTGTGGTCAACCGACTCTCACACCCTCTTTCACCACATTCTCATTTGCCCTATGACCTCCTCCTACAGGTCCCCAGCCGTTACCAACACCTCTTCCCTCCCTGACCAGATATCCCTCCTCCTAGTCACAGACCTGGCACTAGGGACCTGCCACGCTTTGCCATAAACAAATAAATTGTACCGGGAATTTTCCCCCCACACACTCATCATTCTGTTACTTTATGTAACTTGCTGACAAAACCCATGACCCTTCAGGCCTTTACGCCCTTAATGCATGAGTCATAAAGGCAAGCATGAACTTAGCATGCTTCCCAGTTGGGCACTGTAAACGCTTCTGCACTTCACCTTGCACAGGATGTAAGGGGGTGCCCAATAAACTAGCCCCCTCTGGGGCAATCTTGAATCTTGAATCCGAAAGGGAGGGAGGGTGGGGGAATTGTTACACCCAGGCCCCAACATCAGAGGACCATGAAAGATATATAGGTATGGTATACGGGCTTTGATCTTGGAAAGCAACCACCGAGGGCCCCATCTCATGATTGTGCCCCGGGCCCCCACTCTAATCTCTGGGGTCCTGTGTAAATCACCTGGCTGTAACATGTGTTTTCTCACGACTGACTCATTAGACCATTTACACAACACCGATGAACCTTGTAGCGTGTGTGAGTGATGCTGCTGCACCAGCGACTCTCTATTGTTAGCTCCTGTGTGCGTGTGGCGGGTCCCTGCGTCCATCCTCAGACCGAACAATGTGAGGGAAAGGAGCAAAATATTACTTCATTTTGGTTCCTTGTCATCTTTAGATGTTTCTCCAGTTTAGATTACTGTCTGTTAGACGACGTGTGGCAGACATTCACATGAGTATCTAACCCACGTTATGTCAACTATAATACTCGTACAGTATGTTCTGTGGCTGTGATGTTTTATTAGAGTAAACTTGGACACTCTTAGTATGAGCACGTAATGAGTTTTCAGAGTAACTCACATTTTTATTTTATTATACTATATCTCATAGAAAATTGTTTCTTCATATACCAAAGTTTTTGGTTAAATAATTGTGCTACAAAGTGTGTGTGTGTGTGGTGTGTGTGTGTGTGTGTGTGTGAGGTTTGATTACACATACAACATACACAAAGCTGTGATTCTCGGTGGTTTATTCATTATATGAATTTCCGAAACCTGAGCTTGGTGATGGCGCGTAACACTGTCAGTTGTCCACCAGGGTGACTGTGTTGGCCACATCCTCGCCTGCCACCCTTCTCTTCCTACTGGTGATGGTGGGCGTAAGTACGGCACGTCCTGGAGCTCCTCCTTCACATGTTGAAGATATCAGACTGATAGTAGTGAGGTTGTTCCAGCAGGCCCGCTCCTTGTTGTTGCCTGCCGACCTTCTCTCAGGCACCACCTTCTGGGGAGATTTGCTCAAGCTCTTGCATCTGTTCGGCATCACCAACGAGGACATATTTCAGGTATGAGTAACATTCTCACCACCTTCTTGTCTTAGTTAGTACCCAGACCCACACGGGTGGCGGTTGGAGTGCAGTACCTCTACTCGTCTGTCCCTGTGTACTGGCCAGTCATGTTTACGGCACCCGGTTAAACAGTTCCCAGCAAGCTGGAGGCACTAGAGCGGTACATGTGACACAGACACTGAAGCGGTACATGTGACACAGACACTGAAGCGGTACATGTGACACAGACACTGAAGCGGTACATGTGACACAGACACTGAAGCGGTACATCACAAGAGACACTAAAACGGTACATCAATGAAGCCGTAAAACACTGTAAGCAAAGACGCCATAAACTATTGTAAACAGAAACGCCGTAAACAAAGACGCTGCTGTTATATGAGGTAAGACATAAATTACACCCACAGTTAACAAGACGGCAAGAAGAAAGTTTCCACATTAGAGGTTATTTAAACCCTCCCCATCAGGGTGGATTATTAGGGACCTGCCACGCTTTGCCATAAACAGATAAATTGTACCAGGAATTTTCCCCCCACACACTCATCATTCTGTCACTTTATGTAACTTGCTAACAAAACCCATGACCTTTCAGGCTTTTACGCCCTTAATGCATGAGTCATAAAGACAAGCATGAACTACACATGTTACCCAGATGGGCGCTATAAACGCTTTTGCGCTTCACCTTGCACAGGATGTAAGGAGGTGCCCAATAAACTAGCCGCCTCGCAGTGCAAATTCTAAAAACAAATTTTGTGTGGTCTTCCGGCAGTGGTGGAGAAGGTGGAGACAGAAGTGGTGGAGATCTTGTCCCAGCTGCCGCCACATGACATTACCAAGTAAGATATATTGACGTACTGTATTTGTCCTGATATTAATTATTATTATATTGTTAAATTATAACGAGTGAACGTTGTGTTACCTGTACTATTACCGGTTGTGTTACCTGTACCACTACCTGTTGTTACCTGTACCACTACCTGTTGTGTTACCTGTACTACTACCTGTTGTGTTACCTGTACTACTACCTGTTGTGTTACCTGTACCACTACCTGTTGTGTTACCTGTACACACTACCTGTTGTGTTACCTGTACTACCTGTTGTGTGTGTTACCTGTACTACTACCTGTTGTGTTACCTGTACTACTACCTGTTGTGTTACCTGTACTACTACCTGTTGTGTTACCTGTACTACTACCTGTTGTGTTACCTGTACTACTACCTGTTGTGTTACCTGTACACTACCTGTTGTGTTACTGCATGCTACTACCTGTTGTGTTACCTGTACCACACCTGTTGTGTTACCTGTACTACTACCTGTTGTGTTACCTGTACTACTACCTGTTGTGTTACCTGTACTACTACCTGTTGTGTTATACCACTACCACCATTGTGTTACCTGTACTACTACCTGTTGTGTTACCTGTACTACTACCTGTTGTGTTACCTGTACCACTACCTGTTGTGTTACCTGTCACACACCTGTTGTGTTACCTGGCACACTACCTGTTGTGTTACCTGTACTACTACCGGTTGTGTTACCTGTACTACCTGTTGTGTTACTGTACTACCTGTTGTGTTTACCTGTACCACTACCTGTTGTGTTACCTGTACTACTACCTGTTGTGTTACCTGTACTACTACCTGTTGTGTTACCTGTACTACTATGTTGTGTTACCTGTACTACTACTGTTGTGTTACCTGTACTACTACCTGTTGTGTTACCTGTACCACTACCTGTTGTGTTACCTGTACCACTACCTGTTGTGTTACCTGTACCACTACTACCTGTTGTGTTACCTGTACCACTACCTGTTGTGTTACCTGTACCACTACCTGTTGTGTTACCTGTACTACCACTACCTGTTGTTACCTGTACCACTACCTGTTGTGTTACCTGTACTACTACCTGTTGTGTTACCTGTACTACTACCTGTTGTGTTACCTGTACTACTACCTGTTGTGTTACCACTACCTGTTGTGTTACCTGTACCACTACCTGTTGTGTTACCTGTACTACTACCTGTTGTGTTACCTGTACTACTACCTGTTGTGTTACCTGTACCACTACCTGTTGTGTTACCTGTACCTACTACCGGTTGTGTTACCTGTACTACTACCTGTTGTTGTGTTACCTGTACCACTACCTGTTGTGTTACCTGTACCACTACCTGTTGTGTTACCTGTACCACTACCTGTTGTGTTCCTGTACCACTACCTGTTGTGTTACCTGTACTACTACCTGTTGTGTTACCTGTACTACTACCTGTTGTGTTACCTGTACCACTACCTGTTGTGTTACCTGTACTACACTACCTGTTGTGTTACCTGTACTACTACCTGTTGTGTTTACCTGTACCACTACCTGTTGTGTTACCTGTACCACTACCTGTTGTGTTACCTGTACTACTACCTGTTGTGTGTTACCTGTACCACTACCTGTTGTGTTACCTGTACTACTACCCGGTGTACCTGTACCACTACCTGTTGTGTTACTGTACCACTACCTGTTGTGTTACCTGTACCACCTGTTGTGTTACCTGTACTACTACCTGTTGTGTTACCTGTACTACTACCTGTTGTGTTACCTGTACTACTACCTGTTGTGTTACCTGTACACTACCTGTTGTGTTACCTGTACCACTACCTGTTGTGTTACCTGTATCTACTACCTGTTGTGTTACCTGTACCACTACCTGTTTATGTTACCTGTACCACTACCTGTTGTATTACCTGTACCACTATATTTGTGTTACCTGTACCACTACCTGTTGTGTTACCTGTACTACTACCTGTTGTGTTACCTGTACTACTACCTGTTGTGTTACCTGTACTATTGCCTGTTGTGTTACCTGTACTACTACCTGTTGTGTTACCTGTACCACTACCTGTTGTGTTACCTGTACTACTACCTGTTGTGTTACCTGTACTACTACCTGTTGTGTTACCTGTACTATTGCCTGTTATCTCTTCTGAATTAATTTTTTCTCATCTGAACTGACAGTATATTATGTTAGATGACCTTGTTGCTCTTATACGCAAGAGTCTGTCGCAAACTGAACTTGTATATAAATAATTCCAGAAACAATGAACAGAGAGGAGAGTCATTTTTCCCTTCGTATCAACAATTTTCAATACAAAGTTTACAGAGATATCTTCTACAGGGTTGAGATAGCTGCCGGGGACATCCTGGGTATGATACAAGCTGGGGATGTTGACTTGGAGCGACTCAAGACCGACGTAGATGTTATTTATATGATCATTTGGCCGTATGTGGACGACAGCCTCAAGCCCAGGATCAAGTACACTGTCGGGATACTTATTTTCCTGTGGATCCTGTGGTCACAACTCCGTATGTCTCTGTCTGCTGGTGACCTGATACGACCTCTCTTGGCTGTGGCTCTGTAGGTCTGACCCAACATCCTTGTGTGTGGCTCTGTAGGTCTGACCCAACATCCTTGTGTGTGGCTCTGTAGGTCTGACCCAACATCCTTGTGTGTGGCTACTATAGGCCAAACTCTGCCTCTTTTTCCCTTTATTAAACGTACCTAAACTTGTGCCAGTGTTGGTGTCAATGCCTCCACATGTCTCTGATTTATAGTTGCAGTGTACGGCGGCTGTTTGGTTACAACTCTCGTCCCCTGTCACAAGGGTCGCTAATTTGCACCTGGGAGACTACAAGGTGACCCAGGTGTTAGGGATGTGATATATATATATATATATATATATATATATATATATATATATATATATATATATATATACATATATATATATATATATATATATATATATATATATATATATATATATATATATATATATATATATATATATATATATATATATATATATATTTCATGTAAATCCACAATGAAAACGTGGATAAGATAAATCTTGATAAACTGTACGGAAAATGGAAACAACGGAGTACCTAGCTGTCTTATTCAAGACATCTTCAGAGGCAACTGAATAAAGATTGAAAGCTAAGGTACCTGTTGTTTCCATTTTCCGTGTGATTTATCAAGATATATATATATATATATATATATATATATATATATATATATATATATATATATATATATATATATATATGTTAATAAATCCCTCTTTATACGACAGTTTTCCCAAGTGTCTCCTCAACAAAGAAGCTCTCCTCTCCGGTGGTGTGTCTCTTGACGATTCTTGAGAACATTAACAACTGTCTAGTGATGCAACACTTATCTTGTTTACCCCGAAGCTGGCTGGCATGTGTGGGATCTTAACTTAACCAAATTTAGTTTATTTTGGACTTCTCTGAACCTAAATTAATTTAACCTAATATACTCTAACCTAACCTAACCTAACCTAGCCTAACCAAACCTAAACTAGCCTAGCCTAACCTTGCCTAACCTAACCTTACCTAACTTAACTTGCCCCAAATCTATCTTCTCTGCTACAGGTTTTGCTGGACTGAGGACCATGAGAACATTGACTCCCCAGGTGTTCTCACGGGGACATACACTACACTACACTACACTACACTACACTAATAATGGTTGCCCCTCGAAATCGAGGATGGCCTGCCGTGGGGCATGACCCAGTGTCAATGAATAGTCCGAGAAGACCGGACAACTCGCCAACTGCACTGGCTAACCATTATCCCGGAATACGGAATCGATTAACATCCAGGTCCCTAATTACTGCTGGGTAGACAGAGGCAAATGGCGTAAAGAAACGTGCGCATAGTTTCACCCTGCCCAGGGATCGAACCGGAGTCCGTTCGATAGCGAGGTGAGCATGCTGACCATTACACCACACTGCACCCTAAGTGAATGTCTCCTACAACTTAAGTGGCTCAGATAACTTTCAATTCATATCAAAATCAACATAAATAAACGAGTTGTGTAGGACAGGCTTACCATCCATCACACGTAACTCAGTCTGCATCTCAACCAGGTAGAGAACACCCAAATAATATTAGAGTGTGTCAGGGACGTCTTGGTCAAGTATTATTGTCACGTCTTTCCCCTGGGGTCTCAACCTCTTGCCAAATTAACAAACAAATGTGAAGCGGCGGTGTTTTTACTGACGTCATTTATTATTCCATAGTAACTAGTGTAGGTAATTATACAGGGAGAGTGTGGAGGCTGCAGCATGGTGTGTGTGTGTGTGTGTGTGTGTGTGGTGGCTGCAGGAACATGGCGTGTGTGTGTGTGTGTGTGTGTGTGTGGTGGCTGCAGGAACATGGTATGTGTGTGTGTGTGTGTGTGTGTGTGTGGCTGCAGGAAACATGGTGTGTGTGTGTGTGTGTGTGTGGTGGCTGCAGGAATATGGCGTGTGTGTGTGTGTGTGTGTGTGTGTGTGGCTGCAGGAAACATGGTGTGTGTGTGTGTGTGTGTGGTGGCTGCAGGAACATGGCGTGTGGTGGCTGCCTCAATAAAACTCCTTTTGTGGTGAAGGATAACGAAAACTTAAAGGAAGATGTAAATAAATGAGGAAATGGAGAGAAGGAAGAAGCAGGGAGTGAAAGGAAGGAATGAGAGGAAGAGGAAGTGAAGGAGGAAAACTGAAAGATCAAGAGGGAGCAAGGAAGAGAATATCCACCTCCATCACACCAGTTCATACACACCACAACAGACAGTGCAGGTACGGTATACAACGTCTGTTATACGTAATAGTTATAAATATATACTACCAACACAAAGTAGTTAGAAAGTATACAGTATAGGGAAGGACATAAGAGATACTAAAGTTAAAACGAATATATCAACCTTTATTTCATGACTAATGTGACACAATTACTTACGCAGATGTGAGATGACTTATTTTATATGGGACGGGAGTATATGTGGTCGTCTTGAGAAATAAACTTAAGCTACATTAAACTATTCTATTACATAATATATAAAGGATTAGGTACAATAGTTTGAGTTTGTTTTTACATGATCTGGTGATGTTTACACAGGGTTTGATGTCAAATTGGATCACTTGAAGATTGACTCCACAGCTTGTTAAACACCCTGATATTGCCTAGATTAAGGTTGGGTTGGGTGTGAGTGAGGTAATGAATTCTGTATGGTTATGACATTCACCTTAAATGCCTTATGAAATAGGGTCCTTAAAGCTTGCTGTTAATGGCCGAATATACAGAGATGTTAGAAGTGAACACCGAACAAAGTCTTAGTTAAATGTTGTTATTAAGCACCGTTCAACTAGGTGCGTCAACTACCACCAGGGTTATTAATATGAACTTAAATTTGGTTAGAAAGAATGTCCATGGTTGGGTTATTCTTAGAGGTATAATTAGGTAGACGTTTACAGATGTACTGTTGTTGTCATGTGATAAGATAACAGTTTTATTGTCCTGATAGTCACCTTCTCTCACAGTGAAGTCGTGTTCTTAAAGCGACATCAATTGAACGTATGACTGACGCCGTGACGCCAACTAAACGTAATAACCCCCCCTAGAAAATATTTAATTAATGCATAACTGCGTGGGAGGGGGGGGGGTCTATAATGGCAGACGAGATAACCTGACGAAACAAAAAATTTACCTAACCCAAACTAAACGAGCCTTAACCTAACCTAATCTAACCACCGTAACTAACCTAACAACCTAACTTGTTACATTGGGTTAATTAGGTTAGGTTATAATATACTAACCATCATCGCCAAGTTAAATTTTGTCAGCAAGTTATATTAATGCTGGAACTCAGATAAAACAAATACTATAAAATCAATCACTAAGTAACTTTCGTAAGGCTTCGTAAAAACAACCAACTCTTGTTATTTTACTCATGAACAAAACTATTTTTCTTTAACGAAAATTAATTCCCAAACACAGCGTCCACCTCCCGTTCTCAGAGTTGCTGGTATCTGTGAGAGGCAACCCAGGTCGATCCAGTTGGGAAAGTGAAGGTGGTTGCGTGTCCTGCCAGGGCTATGGAACACGAGTAACTTAATTTTCGTAAAAGAGAATTAAAAATTTATGAAAGAGTGGATTGAAGACGATTTCAGACTATGACGAAACATGTACACAATCTTACACTACGGTATATATCACAATAATCATCCTTATATATTAATACTGAAAGGTGAACATTTCATTTAAGATTAAAATATAAATCAACATAATCTCACTATTGTGTAAGCAAGATTTTAAGCACTGAATATACAGTATATTACATGTACTATAAGACTCCTATATTATAATACCTTATATTTAATAAAATTAATAATATATTCGGTCATATATCACACACAACTGTACCAACTACACCTATATAAACAAAGGTAATTCATTCTTTGGTATTAAACATTTCGTGTCAATAATGGTTACCCCTCGTGTAACGAGGATGGCCGGCCCAAGGTGACCTAGGCGTGAATAATTGTTTAAGGTGCAGAAGCTGTAGCCAACACAACCACCACACCCTAAGTTAACGAGCTGCATGACCCAGTGTCAAGGAATAGTCCGAGAAGACCGGACAACTCGCCAACTGCACTGGCGGAATACGATCCGCATATCGATTAACATACAGGTCCCCAATTACTGCTGGGTAGACAGAGGCAAATGGCGTAAAGAAACTTGCCCATAGTTTCACCCTGCCCGCTGACCAATACAGTCAATACACTTGTTGACAGAGTACAAGATGGAACACGTAACAGCTTTAATAAAAAATATATAATCTTACTTGATAATTCCTTCAAATTATTTTCGAAATTATGTTATATTGCATTTATCTCTTATATGTGGCTTATCTTGAGAAGTACTGTACAATATGACAGAAAACGTTCCTTTTTATGTGAGGTCAAACTATGAAAAAAAAATATATCTTTATCTCTTAAACTATGAACTTTCTTTCTCTCTCTCTCTCTCTCTCTGGACCTTCTGTCTATCTCTCTATCTCAGGACTCTCTCTCTCTCTCTCTCTCTCTCTCTTGGGAGCTTCTCTACATGTTTCACTACATGACTTCCTGTATTTCTTAAGACTGCCCATAAACACCCTTATGAACGTTGGTCTCAGTGCTGAATAAAATCGTCTGACGTTAGCCAAATAGAATATTAAGCGCGGCGTCCCTGTAGTCAAGGGATTACGCCGAACTTTATAATTTGGGAAACAGATCTAAGGAGTTTCAATCCTAATAAGCTCCAGTCATATTAAGTCAGGTTAGGTTAGGTTAGATTTACATTAGGTTAAGCTCGGTTGGACTTAGATTAGGTTTGCTTGGGTTAGGTAAGGGTAGATTAGGTTAGATTTAGCTTAGGTTAGGTTAGTTTGGAATAGGTGACAGTAGGTTAGGACTGGTTCTCATTAAGCCCGGGCTCCATACACCGCGTACTTTAAAAGAGTGGTCGAGATATTATTTACGTCATGTGGACCAAATAACTCTGGGGTTATGACCAAGCTGTAGACACGAGAAAGGCTGTTGTCCTGCATGTTCTTTTATAAGTAAGTTGCCATTACCTTTATACAGTATATAAAATAATGTTTCAACACAATACATCATGTACTGCTGTGGTGAGTCCCTCATTAAACCTTGTCACAATAAAACCATTTTCATTGTTTTATGTACAGTACGTTTGTCTTATAGTTAAATTTTATATAACATTTATATAACACTATAGGCTGGATGTAGTGTTGGTGTACTATGGGTTGGATATAGTGTTGAGGCAATGTGTGTTGGGTGTAGCAGTATTGGGGCACTATAGGCTGGATGTAGTGTTGGTGTACTATGGGTTGGGTATAGTGTTGAGGTAAATGTGTTGGGTGTAGCAGTATTGGGACACTATAGGCTGGATGTAGTGTTGGTGTACTATGGGTTGGGTATAGTGTTGAGGCAATGTGTGTTGGGTGTAGCAGTATTGGGGCACTTCACCTCCTCGACTCGGTGCATCAAGATGCCATCAATACACTCAACACTACACTACAGGGGAACATCATCATCACTTTACTTACTAGTACAACGTTATGGTGACTTGAAACCAACACCACCACCACTACACATCAGAGGCCTACGAGGGCAAGAACCTAATACTGTTTTTATCATATTTTCCAAACCTAAAGGATTTCTACTCACCAAAATACCTTCATACTCAAGACTGGTGCTGTGTGAAACTCTCTGCCACACACACGCAGTTTTTAATATATCCTAACACAAGGATCATTTCAAAATGTATTGTTGTAAATCTCTTCAGTCCATGATGAATAGACCTGACAATAATAGTAGTCTGGTCTCCTTTCCAACCTGCTGTGTATTGTATGAGAGAAGAAAAATCCGCGCGTCAGAAGGAGAATATTTAATAAATCGCTCAGAGTAATCTTCCCCACAAAGAAAAATTCACCAGATAGAGATTATCAACGTATAACTTCTTTGAGGGAAATGCAACGCTGAGACGCACATTTGTTGCTTAATCTTAGATACTTGTTCACATTGTTCAATTATATGTTTTGTTTCCCACAACGTAAGTCACGTAGCTAACTTTATATAAGATAACTGTTCGTATGTGTCCGAAGTAACTTCTATTTTATTTATACGAATTTTATCACATTGAATCTGGTTTCACTTGAGACCCTATTCTATTGTTCTTCTTCAGTGGTTGGCATCCTGTTACACCCTGTCTTCTTTAGTGTCAGTATTAATATTGCCCTTCAGTTTGTTTACGTCATAAAGGGTGAAGGAGGCGCTCTTGGTGCTCCTGCAACACCCACAACATGTGGCCACTCTGCTCCTGCCCCTGGAGGAGGCGGACGCTGGAGCACTGTGATGATGCTCCGTCAGGTGGTGATGCCCCGACGGGCGTTGATGCTCCGCCAGGTCTCCTCCAAGGCAGACACAGTGGTTGTTGCACGGGGTGGAGGTAGTGATGCGGGGGCAGCCGTCACCCTTCTGGCTACTCTCTCCTCCGCCGCTGTGGTTCTGTACCAGACATAGAAGACGTGGGTTAACATGGGCTGATATACAGTAGACGTGGGTTAACATGGGCTGATATAGACGTGGGTTAACATGGGCTGCTATAGACGCGGGTTAAAATGGGCTGACCTAGACGTGGGTTAACATGCACTGATATAGACGTGGGTTAACATGGGCTGCTATAGACGCGGGTTAAAATGGGCTGACCTAGACGTGGGTTAACATGCACTGATATAGACGTAGGTTAACATGGGCTGCTATAGACGCGGGTTAAAATGGGCTGACCTAGACGTGGGTTAACATGGGCTGATATAGACGTAGGTTAACATGGGCTGACCTAGACGTGGGTTAACATGGGCATATCTAAGCGAATGCACGTAAAAAAAAATACACCTGACATAATATCTTTAAATTAACAGCAATTAACCTGTAACTTGTGATCCAGATTTTGTTTTCAGTAATTTAGTCTAATCAATGTACACAAAACCTGAGCCTTGTATGGCCAGCAACACACACACACACACACACACACACACACACACACACACACAGCCCCGTAAAACACCACAAAATTACCTTAAACGTGTGATCAGTTTCTATGTCGTCCAGTTTGTTGTGGCGTAACTCCTTGTAGCTTGTCATCACGACCCGACTACTGTGAGAGGATTTCTTATAACTCTTGTGGCTCGAACTGTTAAGATAAAACATTCATCAAACATATGGCTCATGTGGCTAGGTTTGTTTTTGTTACCGTTAGACTTCTCCTCATCAAAGAAAACGGAGACCACAAAAGTAAGAGAGTGTTGGGAGGATGATTCGTGCAAGACATACGTAGAAAATTAGAGTAAATAGATGCACGTAACATAAATCTAAGAGAAGGTAACAATAATAGCAACATGTCAACCCTCTGGCAAAGATAAGTACTGTATATATAATTATAACTTTCTATGAGAATTACTTGCAAGAAAAATGTTTGTTGATACACACACAAACTTAACAGCCCACCTGCTATCAAATCTCCTATTTCTCACTTCCTAACTTTATCTTCCTACTACACCTTCTTGAACCTTCAGAACAAACGACTCTCTTCTCTACATCTCAACATCAACTTAACTGTTAATTTCCAAAGACTTGATCTCTAGCACGACAGCAGGTTCAGGACCAGAACATCCCACTGTTGTCTCCCGGGTTCTCCCTGTTGTGCCTCGCCAGTGTACTGAGGGAGGCAAACGTATATACCATTAATTACCCGACATCACTACTCATCTGTCTGTAGAGTTTGTTATATTAGGATTAAAATGATACAAGGAATATATATAAGTTAATGGGATGGAGGCCAGACCATCCTAACCTAACCTGTCACAGCTATATTCACGACGGTGGTGTATCCTGCCGTCTGACACAGTTATACTGGTGTATCCTGACACGACGGTGGTGTATCCTGCCGTCTGACACAGTTATACTCACGACGGTGGTGTATCCTGCCGGTAGAGGAGTGTCTGCAGGTGAGGAGAGACATGAGACCTTTGCGAAAGTTGTCGTTGAAGCCGCAGTAGATGATGGGGTTGAGGGCGGAGTTAGACAACGCGATGAAGTAGGCCGAGAACTCCATCACTCCGAACCACTCCGGCAACTGTGGGGGTGAGGGAGCGTGGGTGAGTGAGGCGTGTGAGGGTGAGGGAGCGTGGGTGAGGGTGAGGGTGAGGGAGCATGTGAGAGGGTGAGGGTGAGGGAGAGAGGGATGATATGTTTGTTGAATGTTATAATTTATCACTGGCCTTCTAAGACCATTAACTTGTGCTTCGTATTGACAAACAGACTTACGGAGTTATGGTCAACGTGGACGAAGTTACTGTAGAGGATGATGGTCTGTAGCGGCGTCCAGCACAGCACAAACACCAGCAGGACGACTGACACCATCTTCACTACCTTCTTCTTGGCCCGTGTGGCTGTGTTGCGGGCAGGTACACAGTGCTCACCTGGCAGCTGAGTCATCCACAACCTCCACACCACCAGACTGTCAACATCATCATCATCATCATCAATCATCATCAATCATCATCATTAACATCATCAATTAACTATACCTGATAACCGCTCACCTGTACAAGATAACCGCTCACCTGTACAAGATAACCGCTCACCTGTACAAGATAACCGCTCACCTGTAACTAATGACCATGATACCGACGGGGAGAAAGTAGAAGGCGGTGTTGAGTATGATGTAGAAGAGCTTCTTGGGGTCGTAGGTCGTGACACACCGCCTCACCACCGGGTCGTACTTCACCTCATTGGGCCACACCTCGTCACAGTGCCAGGAGGTGAAGTTGGCCCACTGAGGAAGAGAAATGGGTGAGACAACAACAACAACAACAACAACAACAACAACCGTACATATAGGCCACACACACACACACACACACATACACACACACACACACACACACACACACGTACAAAACATGGATAAGAGGTCACCTTGATGCTGTACAGTTCACGGTAGAAAAGCGTCGGGCAGGACAAGAGAGCAGACGTCACCCACACTACAGCGATGACACGGTGGGCGCGGTCTGGCGAGGTGCGGGCGTGTAGCGGGAATATGACAGCCACGAACCTGCCCACACTGATGACTGTTAATGTTAACACGCTGGCCAGGAGAGACGTGGCTGTCAGGACAAGAGTAGTGGTGGTTAGTGGCTGTCAGGACAAGAGTAGAGGTGGTTAGTGGCTGTCAGGACAAGAGTAGTGGTGGTTAGTGGCTGTCAGGACAAGAGTAGTGGTAGTTAGTGGCTGTCAGGACAAGAGTAGTGGTGGTTAGTGGCTATCAGGACAAGAGTAGTGGTGGTTAGTGGCTGTCAGGACAAGAGTAGTGGTAGTTAGTGGCTATCAGGACAAGAGTAGTGGTAGTTAGTGGCTGTCAGGACAAGAGTAGTGGTAGTTAGTGGCTGTCAGGACAAGAGTAGTGGTGGTTAGTGGCTATCAGGACAAGAGTAGTGGTAGTTAGTGGCTGTCAGGACAAGAGTAGTGGTGGTCAGTGGCTATCAGGACAAGGTGAATTGGTGGTCTCAGCTCGTACAGGTAGAGACACATAATTAACCTCAGCATCATCACAGGTAAACAATATTTCTCTTCCATCGTTGTAGATTCTTGTGAGTGACATCAACATGACGCTACAACAATTTAAGTTTCCATTAATGATGTAGAAGAAGATTCAATAAATTATAGGATGTTGTTGACATTTAACGTAATACATTATTCCAGATGGGACACAACGAGCTTAAATATTTTATCACATCCTCAACTAGTCTTCCTTACACCACATAATTTTATACATTATACAGATAATACTCTTTCCCATAATACTATATTTCATACATTTTATTTTCTTTCCTCTAACTTTGCCTTTCATATATTATTTTCTATCGTTTATTATATATTACATGATGGAGCAGATCATTAGGTTCTGACACCGCGAAATATTATTGTTGACATGAGACAAGGGGTTAGGGTGCCATATGTATAATAAGGTATGAATTAAACGAGACTTATTGTACCAAGACTAAAAAGATACTGGTTAAGGTGACTGAAATGATTAGAACGATTTAGTTTCTTTAGAGGTTAACTCAGGTCAGAGATTTATCCAGGAAGAGGGTGGGAAGAAGGCGTCGGGGTTGAGATAAGTAAAATAGATTGGTTAAAGGCAGGAGGTAATTCTGGTACCACGGTCCCTAAATACTCAGGGAATGATGTGGCCCGAGTCATTACCCTAAACCGCCTTCAGGGAGTAGAGGACGTAGTGGGCCCCGGTGTGAGGAGAGTACAGTAGAGGTGTAGTGTTAATTTTCGTTCAGTATCAGTATCTCACCACACGTTGTTACTGATTCACTACTCCAAACCTCCTCTTCTTCTTCCTCTTCTTCTTCTTCTTCCTCCTCCTCTTCTTCTTCCTCCTCTTCTTCTTCCTCCTCCTCTTCTTCTTCCTCCTCTTCTTCTTCCTCCTCTTCTTCTTCCTCCTCCTCCTCTTCTTCCTCCTCTTCTTCCTCCTCCTCCTCTTCTTCTTCCTCTTCTTCTTCTTCCTCTTCCTCCTCCTTTCTTCTTCCTCCTCTTCTTCTTCCTCCTCTTCTTCTTCCTCCTCCTCCTCTTCTTCCTCCTCTTCTTCCTCCTCCTCCTCTTCTTCTTCCTCTTCTTCTTCTTCCTCTTCCTCCTCCTGTTGATGGATGTGGTGCATCAGTTGGCTTCATTAAGTTGCTTCTTGACTGGTGCAGAGGACACACGCCAGATGGTGTGGCCTGGTGAGTGTCACATCCCCTCACACACACACAAGGAGTCATTATGGCCGACACTACACTCGATCGTCTTCACTTCCCCAACTATATAGGCAGAGGGTGATAATAGTAGTAGTAGTAGTAGTAGTAGTAGTAGTAGTAGTAGTAGTAGATCAGGGCATATGGGATGAGAATTTTGAACGTTGATCAGAGCAGCTTCAACTCTCTGGTGTTCACAACCTCTGGTGGGATGGGACCAAGTGCAAGATGCTTCTACGCCAGACTCGCGGAGGTGTTATCTGAACAGAAGCAGCAGCCCAGAAGTTACGTTACGGCCTGATTGAGATGTAGACTGTCCTTCTCTCTCCTTAGGTCCGCTTTACTCTGCCTCAGGGGAGCGAGATCTTCGGCCCCAAAGCCGACAACAGCCGCAGATTTTTACGATGAGGCAACAGTCACTGAATGCCGCATAGACCTACAGCTCAACTAACTCAACACAACTAGGACAGATACTTGTGTATTTGGATATTTAATTTTAAGGTAATAAAATGGCGGCGAAGGTGTGGCTATTGGGGGAGGCTGGAGGCCACGTTAAAAAACAGGTACTGTAGTATCATCATTATTATTAGTAGTAGTAGTAGTAGTAGCAGTCGTAAAAAACAGAGATATTCTCACACACACAATACTGCCACCACTCAACCGCCGCCATGTTGAGGAACTGTCTTTCTCACGCTAGTCACTACACACTTTAACCTCGAGCTTAGAGGATGTTGCCAGGAGAGAGAGAGAGAGAGAGAGAGAGAGAGAGAGAGAGAGAGAGCTCAGTTGACGGTTGAGTAAATGCGTCACCTTTCATCATTTTACCCTCAGGTCCGAGGCGGTAATACCTCCAATTAGGAAACTAATTTACATACTCATTCAGCAAGAAGTTATGACATTATGTTTACCTAAAATATATATAAGGAAAATATACTTCATCTTGACTGTACTACACACACACACACACACACACACACACACACACACACACACACACACACATATATACTGGGTCATATTTCTCAGTATCTCATGAGACAACAGTGAGAAATGATTCTTGTTATTTCCCAGGACACGTGTTCCATCTCTCAGTATTTCTTGTTGACAACTACCTTATGAATATATAACTTGTTTATCATAGATGCTCACTTGTTTATCATAGATGCTCACTTGTTTATCATAGATGCTCATTTGTTTATCTCGATGCTCACTTGTTTATCATAGATGCTCACTTGTTTATCATAGATGCTCATTTGTTTATCTCGATGCTCACTTGTTTATCATAGATGCTCAATTGTTTATCACATGACACCAATAAGAGATAAAATTAACACCTTTATCACTATGAATCAGCATCTTAAGGCGACACTGGTGGTAAACTATGCACACACACACACACACACACACTCTCTCTCTCTCTCAGCAAACTTTCCTCACGCATTAATTCTCAGAAAATCTGTTTGAATCGGATAAGCCACACAGCTTTTACCGTATTTGCATTGATGGAGTTTGAAAGTGTCGTATACTTGAAGGACTTAAAAGAGATTGAATGAGCTAAGTGGAAGGAACTGGTGTAAGGAAAAATTATTTGCCTTCAGGACGTGATCACACACACACAGACACACACACACAGACACACACACACACATACACACACACACACACACACAGACACACACACACACAGGACTTATCTGGCAGAAGGTTAACATTACACATCAAAGTTACTGAAGATTTGCTGCCTCGTTACAACTTTTTATGCAAGTGGGGAAGTGAATAAGAGTGTCAACTACTAGAAAGAATGTGATAACCTTGGTGAGAGACACAGGTAGGTGTGGAGGGCAGGTGTAAGAGACAGGTAGATGGGCTGGAACTATAAAAGCCCACACAGGTAGAGATGAAAGACCTAAGCCCTTCATTAAACACTAAGTACACTTTACAACACGTGGGAGCTTCAGTTATAAGACTGGAATAATGTACAGTCGCCTGCACTTATACCTGGTACAGTGGCTGGTGCATTATGTGAGATGTGGCAACTGTGTGGAAGGCAGATCTAATTCTTTTGTGTTTTGGTGACAGAGAAAAAATATTCATTGTTATATCTTACCAACCGTGATTTTGTTTGGACTCTTTGTGATGTTATATAAGATGCAGGTATAGGAACATTATCTTAGTAAATATTGTATTTACTTTTGATCTTGTCAGGTAGAGTAAGTCGTGTTTGTTTAGCCTTATTGTGTGTGTGTGTGTGAGTGTGTGTGTGTGTGTGTGTGTGTGTGTGTGTTGGTGATGACGCGCCCTGGACATAACGAGCGTCTGGCCCGCCTGCACTACACCAGCCCGACTTCACCTTGAGAGACACACACCTGGTTTATTTTCTTGTGTTTAGGACCAATATGTCTTAACACTAACTTGGTGTTCCTGATGTTTAGTCTTTATTTAAGTAAACTGAGGACGGTTGTGTTCGTATGAGGGATTTACACACACACACACACACACACACACACACACACACACACACCCTAACAGACAAACTTATCAAATTACATGTAAGTGCTGAGTAATTTCACCATATCAACAGTTACACTTAACTCCCTCAACTTCTGGTGGTAATTAATGCAGTTAGATGTAATTAAATGATTAACTGCAGGTAGTCACATCAGGTAGTCGTACAGGTAATTTGATAATGTGTTTATAATAGATTAAACTAAGTACATAAAGATTAATGGCTTGTGTTTATGAATATTACAACCCCCTGAAGTTATCGTACTCAGAGGAGAGTGTACCAGGGGTTAAGTTATCGTACTCCTTTAAGTTATCGTATCGTGTGTCAGCGTGAAGTTATCGTACTTTCCCTTACCTACGTCTTAAGTTAACGTATTCTCGTACTCAGGCTTCATCGTACTGGAGGACCTACTGTACACTGTATCACCTGAGCTCCTCGCATCGTGTGTCTCTCATGAGTATCGGCTGAGACTTTTCCCTTACCTACGTCTCTCTCCGTGTCGTGAGCCCTAGTCTTCATGTGGAGGCTCTCGTGTCGTGTCGTGTCGTGTCGTGTCGTGTCGTGTCGTGTCGTGTCGTGTTTAATGATTAATATTTCTCATTATTTAACACCTATGGAGAAGGAAGAAGGGGATTTGGTATCGACAAGAAGGTGAGAAAGGGTGAAGGGTGAGGGGTGAAGGGTGAGGGGTGAGGGTGAGGGGTGAAGAGTCAAGGGTGAGAAGTCAAGTGTTACGGGGTGAAGGGGTGAAGTGAAGGGTGAGGGGTGAGAAGGTGAGTGGTGAAAGGTGAGGGGTGAAGGGTGAGACACCTACCTTGTGCGAAGCCGTCCAGTTTACAGAAGATGGCGGGCAGTACGTGGTGTGGGTGGGAGAGGTTGCGCACCAAATGCACCCACGTACACAAGAGAGTCACCAGCAGGTCAGCCACGGCCAGGTTCACCAAGTACTGGTTGGTGGAGGAGCGCATGTGTACGTTGTAGTAGACGACCAAGATCACCAGCAGGTTCCCCACCAAGGACACCATGAACACTATCACGTACGCCACTATCTGCACAGTACACACACCAACCCCATCAGGTGAGAAAAGAGTTAAATCAACATGAGAATGGAGGAAACTGCAGCGGGCCATACTGGACAGTCCCATTTACACCCAACCCCTATTGCTCATATATCCATCCAACCAATGTTTGAAGCTATCCACAGTATTCGAGTTAATGATGATGTTTGGTAACTTGTTCCACTCATCCACTACTCTGTTTCCAAACCAGTGTTTACCTATCTCGCGCCTAAATCTAAATTTGTCGAGTTTAAAACCATTGTTACAAGTTCGCTCCTGATTGGTTAGTTTGAGTACCTTTGTTATACCACCTTTGTTTAGCCCTGACTTCCATTTATACACCTCGATCATATCACCCCTCACTCTGCGTCTCTCGAGGAGTGCAAATTAAGATGCTTTAACCTGTCTCTGTACTCAAGGTTCCTAATGCCCGGGATTAGTCTTGTCATTCTCCTCTGAATTCTTTCTAGTGATTCTATATCCATTCTGTAATACGGTGACCAGAACTGAACTGCGTAATCTAAGTGAGGTCTCACAAGCGCAAGATATAGTTTTAGGATGACCTCGCTAGTCTTGTAACTAACACTCCTTTGTGTGAACCCAGGTACTTTGTTAGCCTTGTTTCGAGCAAATACACATTGTTTACTTGGTTTAAGATTCCTACTTATCATTACTCCTAATTCTTTCTCACAGTCGGATTTCTCTATAACAACGTTGTTCATCTGATTTCTGGTTTCTCTGTTTACGTCTCCTAGACATTGAATTTCATCTGCCATTTTTTAGACCATTCGAAAAATTTGATTAGATCTTCCTGGAGTTTTGCGGAGTCCTCGTCAGATTTAATTACACGCCCTATTTTAGTGTCATCAGCAAATTTACTTATGTTGCTGTCTATGCCGATATCTATGTCGTTTATGTATATAATAAATAATAACGGTCCAAGTACTGAGCCTTGGGGTACTCCACTAGTGACGTTACTCCAATCGGATTTAGTGCCGTTAATGCTCACTCGCTGTTTCCTGTCCTGTAACCACGCCCTTATCATCGTCCTCAAAAGAGTTAAATCATCGTCATCAAAGGGTTAAGGACATAAGAACATAAGAACATAAGGAGTCTGCAATAGGCTGGTTGGCCTGTGCATGGCAGCTCCTGTCGAGAGTTACTACCTGTTACGAACCCCTCCACCCAGCACTACGAACCACGCCATCTATTGTCCTGATCTACCTACCCAGCACCACGAGCAACGCCATCTAGGGACGAGACACGAGTATGACTCGTCTTAGTTACCACTCCGAGGTTTCCCTTCTTCCTATCCTGGTTGTTGCGTCACCTCCTCAAAGTCTTCTTTGTCAGCTCCAATTGGAGGAGAGAGCACTTGGCTCTGGGAAGTGACCACAGGATCATCTATCCTCTAAACCTACGGACAGTGACTACCTACCGTCTTCTACAATACTCAGCCTTACTCGTCAGCCATCTCAGCTCCTCACTTAAGTACTTTTATCTTGTATTGCCTCCCCCACGTCCACTTGCTTCAAAAATGGTTTATGTTGTCTACCCTTTTATAGTCCGATTGTCTTTGTTTTGTTTTTTTTTGTTACCTGTTGGGATCTGGGTAGACGTATAACTATATTCTATATCCCCAACTCGTAACACTACCACTCTCTATCATCCATGAATCTATCTAGCCTCTTTTTGAAACTTTCCAGCGTTCCAGCACTTACTACAAAGTTGGTAAGCGTTTATCAATAACATTAATAATAACATAAATAACAAGTGTCGTCTCATCAATAAACATCACTACTATATCAACAATACATAATGAAGACCAATCAAGGTGTCAACACAGATTGACCTTACCTGTACATTAATGAGCTAAGAACTGACCTTAATGACCTCCCGCCAGGTGATAGGGATCCAAGTCTCCTTGCGGTAAGCGTATTCAAACTCAGTCAGATCCACCAACTTCCTGTCGTTGTGGCAGGTGACGTTCAGAGCGAAGGCCAGACTCTCGTTAACTGTGGTAGAGGAGCAGGTGTTAATAGTGGTGGTGGAGCAGGCGTTAATAGCGGTGGTGGAGCAGGTGTTTATTGTGGTGGTGGAGCAGGTGTTAATAGTGGTGGTGTGATGGTGGAGCAGGTGTTAATAGTGGTGGTGTGATGGTGGAGCAGGTGTTAATAGTGGTGGTGTGATGGTGGAGCAGGTGTTAATAGTGGTGGTAGTGGAGCAGGTGTTAACAGTGATGGTATGGTCGGCCAGGTACATGGTTAAGTGGTACAGGTGTGCAGATAACAACAACAGAGATGATGGTACTGAAGAAACATAACCTAAGATACGCAATACAGATATGAAAAATTATGACCTTGTGTGAACCTTCTCTTCCCACACACAGAGACAGACAGACATACACACACAGCTCTCCCCTCCTTGAACTCTTGCCTCGACCTTATGCGTGCTAACCCGGTACCGATGTCTCACAATCAATGTATTCTTACTGTCTAATCGTCTCATCTTCCCACACAAACGAATTAGATCTCACATGATAAACAAAGTCATTTAGACAAAGTAGAAGTGAAAACAGAATCCAGTCACAACTCTTACTAAAAAAAAAAAAAGAATTCTTATCACAGCACAACATTCAGTATTCAGCGTTATATCTACTGCTTCTTTGGTAGTTGGTGAACATTATTATTATGTAAACTTTCGATCTGTTTTGGCGTTGGAATGGACACGTACGGTATAGTAACCTCGCTGTGTTGGCCTGACTGCTTATAGATGAAGGTGAAATTCGTGGTGTAAATATATGGATCTATTCTGACTTATAGAACCACCACACACTCCATAGAACCACCACAAGACAGAACCACCAACACAACACGCTATATATATGGTTCACTTAAGTGTCTTGCCGTATAAACCTTAGTCTGGTTACTGTCAGAAAGATCCAAGGTGTGTGTGTCAGTGTATTTGTCTGTCAGTCTATTATGTCAGTCTTATTGTGGTACAGATGATGTGTTGGGCTTATCCTGGATCATCCTAGCTTATCCTGGACCATCCTAGCTTATCCTGGACCATCCTAGCTTATCCTGGACCATCCTAGCTTATCCTGGACCAGCTTATCCTGGACCATCCTAGCTTATCCTGGACCATCCTAGCTTATCCTGGACCATCCTAGCTTATCCTGGACCATCCTAGCTTATCCTGGACCATCCTAGCTTATCCTGGACCATCCTAGCTTATCCTGGACCATCCTAGCTTATCCTGGACCACCCTACCTCATTCTGTCTCCCCCTACTCCAGCCTTCCTCACTTCACCTCTCTCTACCTCAGTACCCCCTACCCACCCAGCCTCACACACACTGTATTACTTGATCATATAACTAAAAACACCAAAACTATTATACCAAACGGAAAAAAAAATCTTTATTCAAATATTTTTTTCGGGATTATACATTTATTAAAAATTCCGAATACAGTACAGGATTTGTTTTATAATATTCTTTGAAGTAACAGAGTCAGTGTTCGGTTAACGTATATAATCCATTACCGAAAATCCATATATGTTAAGTGAATTTACGTTAAGTGAAAACCAATTTCCCATAGGCACTCATGTTATAAAGTGAGATGCATTCAAGAAATTTTACCCCATCTTCCCAAAGCTAAAAAATATGGATGTTGATGTTATAATGTATTGTTGTACTTTAGCAGTTATAATGTATTTTAAGTGAGTATTTTGGCTTTTGTAGATATAGTAGTTATCATCATTGCGAGTTAAAAAGAGATATTTGGTGTACAGTCAACTACTAAAGTCCGTTCGTCTCTCCCTGAACCACGAACCCCAAGAGATTCAGACTCGTGAATCCGAAGCATTTATGGACAGAATAATGTATCTGTCTACTGCTTCAGGTTCACGAGTCTGAATCTCTAGAGGGTTCGTGGTTCAGGGAGAAGCGAACGGACTTTGGTAGCTGACTGTACTGTACATATGTAAGGTTGGGAGACTACACTGAGGGGGGGGCTGCTGTAGTGGTGTGAGAAGAATGGCAACTCTGTTTTTCGATTCAGTCAGAATATTGTTTTTCTTTTGCAATTGTGATTCGCGGAATTTATACAATAGCTGGTTTTTTTATCCCCAGCCACCAGCAGATCGGGAAATATTGCAGCGTTGGATGTATTTGTGTGTCTGTGAGTCTGTTTGTGTGGTGTTTTTTTATTCGTGATGTTTCTTTGTTTTACGAATTAAATTTATTACAGGTCTTCAGTGTACTACAGACACGAGGTCTTAGAAAAGTCTCACAACATAGAATAACAACATTCTTACCGCCAGATTAACCAACGTAACGTAACGTAACGTAACCCTTCAGGCAGCGTCAAGGTGTTTACTCATCAACTGAAATAATCTGTGGGGTTAATCTTCAGGTAACCCGAATATTGTTTACACGGGAACACTGTGCGTCTCACCACTGCGTTAAGAAGGCGGGAACGTTGATTACACACCAAGCGTTTTTTTCCAGCGTGAGAAATATCACCTCCCGGGTAACGTTTTAGGCAGGAATTTTCAATAAGGAATGATGACCTTGCCCTCGGTAATGACTGGCCCGCCGCTCAAAGAGGATTTTCCCGCCTGCAGGAGAGGGAGGAGGGAGGGGGGCTCACTATTGCCTCCTGCGCAGTCACCTCACGTTACCCATCACCTCCTGGGGGCCTTCACCTCCTCCACCAGTAGACTGTGGTGGAGGATGGCCTACAACACCTCACCTCCTCCACCAGTAGACTGTGGTGGATGATGGCCTACAACACCTCACCTCCTCCACCAGTAGACTGTGGTGGAGGATGACCTACAACAGCTCACCCTCCACCGGTCAAAGAAGCAACAGTGTCCATCCAAATGTCCTACCGTGTGTCCAGGAGTAAGGAATAGCTCACACACACGTATTGACAACAAGGAGAGGGGCTGGCATGATGAAGGGCGGGGTTTACATCATATTGACAGCTACACCAATTCCCATTCTTCCTGTAGAGATTATCTGACCACATTGGATTATCTAGGTGATTGGAGGCAGCCTTTATGGAGCTTGGTGGCTGAGTGGGTGTCTTCTGGTCTCCATACCCTGCTGGTACTGGGTTCGATTACCAATATATATAGGTGATTACGGTTGGTTTTGTTTACATTGTACATTTATTTGTATTTACTTTGATGCTTTTTATATAATTATTTAATAGTATTATGTTAAACGATAAAATATTGTTAGAGGTTTAATGCTTTATATAATAGATCCTTCGGAGACTGAACCCACCACACACACACACACACATCAAAGGGACCGTATATGTAAGGTAGTCAGCGCTTCCCTATAAAAAGTGTGAAATCGACCCCCTCACCTGGAAGACGATTACTCCACACCGTAACGCTTGGAGGAGCACCACACAAGAAGGTGTCAATACTTTCGAGTTATCCCGACTGCATAACGAGGCAGACAAGCGCCAACGCCGGAAAGATGCTGCCGCTGCCCCTCCCGCACTAGATGTAGCCCCTCACATGTACAACATCTGTGATCGACTCTGCCGGTCCAGTATCGGCCCCTTTAGTCACCTCAGAACTCACCAATATCGGTGATATCTTTAATAACTCATATCAATGTGTCATAGCTGGATGATCGTCATACTCGATTCCGAGCGACAGCAAAGTAGTAGTAAGAAGTAGTAGTAAGTATTTACCTATATTAACTATATAAAAAAACACATCAAAATAAACATAGAACGGAGAGCTATACGATGTTTATACTAAATGTTTATCAAAACAACCCATTGATTTATTAAGTTTTTGGGGGCTCAAAACAAGGTCAGGGGTCACTGTTGATGATTTGTTCTCATTTTCTATATAAAGACTCCTGTCCAAGTAAGTCTTTTGTTATTTATGTAAACAGGAGACGATATCATCAACTACGTGGTGACATATGGCGGGGTTTACCTGTATTATCTGAGTTACAGGAAACATATAGAATTATTTTGGAGGTAAACCTATTCTTTATGTAAAGGTGTAAGATATGACGGGCTGCTTGAGATGTGAGGGAAGGTAACCCGGTAAGAACAACGTTGTTATACAGAATTCCGACTGTGAGAAAGATTTAGGAGTAATGATAAGTAGGAATCTTAAACCAAGTAAACAATGTGTATTTACTCCAAACAAGGCTAACAAAGTACCTGGGTTCACACAAAGGAGTGTTAGTTACAAGACTAGCGAGGTCATCCTAAAACTATATCTTGCGCTTGTGAGACCTCACTTAGATTACGCAGTTCAGTTCTGGTCACCGTATTACAGAATGGATATAGAATCACTAGAAAGAATTCAGAGGAGAATGACAAGACTAATCCCGGGCATTAGGAATCTTGAGTACAGAGACAGGTTAAGGCATCTTAATTTGCACTCCCTCGAGAGACGCAGAGTGAGAGGTGATATGATAGAGGTGTATAAATGGAAGTCAGGGCTAAACAAAGGTGGTATAACAAAGGTACTCAAACTAACCAATCAGGAGCGAACCTGTAACAATGGTTTTAAACTCGACAAATTTAGATTTAGACGCGAGATAGGTAAACACTGGTTTGGAAACAGAGTAGTGGATGAGTGGAACAAGTTACCAAATATCATCAGCAACTCTAATACGCTGGATAGCTTCAAACATTGGTTGGATGGATATATGAGCGATAGGGGTTGGGTGTAAATGGGACTGCCCAGTATGGCCCGCTGCAGTTTCCTCCATTCTTATGTTCTTAAGACCTCCAGGTAAGTGAGGTCATGACGCGTGTTTTTAATTGACAGGAAACAATGAATAAGAAAATACAGAGTTAACGAAGATAATAATGAAAATACAATGTGTGGATACAGTTTATGAGTGTGGATACAGTTTAAGAGTGTGGATATAGTGTGGATACAGTTTATGAGTGGAACAAGCTTAGCAACTATGTAGTAAGTGCTGGAACGCTGGAAAGTTTCAAAAGGAGACTGGATAGATTCATGGATGATAGAGAGTGGTAGTAACTCTCGACAGGAGCTGCCATGCACAGGTCAACCGGCCTATTGCAGACTCCTTATGTTCTTATGTTCTTATGATTTTATGAGTGTGGATAAATCAATAGACTTTGAGGTTTTCTATGACACATACATACATACATACATACATACATACATACATACATAAAAAGAGAACACAAGAACATTAATTATCTCACCTGACTGTACTTGGGGTGAAAGGTAGGTAGGTAGAGTGGATGAGACGTCACTCCACACCTCACTCGTGGCTGTGGTGGTGGTAAGGTGGAAGTAAGTCATGGCTTCAAGCATCCACACACCCATCCTGACGGCTTCCACTTCCTCAACACTTATCCACACCTCTTAGTACTGTATGTCAGAACAACACCTGACTGACTCACTGAGAAACTGACGTATTTTTTACTTTTATTATGGAATATATCTTTTTTCTGTCAAACTTTCCTGTGGGTATTATTAATTTATTTACATATATTGTTTTTCGTTGATATAAAAGCCGTAAAGTATAACATAATATTCTTCTCTGGTAACTGCTTCTATTCCTGCTGCTGGTTGTAGTAGTGATTGAGTCATCATTCTTTACTTTAGTTTGTCCTTAATTATGGCACATGTTCCCGTTTTCTGTTCACTTCACATTAAAATAAAAAAAACAGCTGATATTAATATTTTGTTTTTATGGCAGTAATTTCAACACTTATGATTGAGTGAGTGTGAGTGTAAGAGTAAGTGTGTGTGTGTGTGTGTGTGTGTGTGTGTGTGTGTGTGTGTGTGTGTTAGGCAATGAGAAGCGTTTACTGTACAAGCCTTGATGAGAGTATAGTAAATACCAAGCGGAGGAGGAAGAGGAGGTGATGGAGGAAGATAAGGAGGAGGAGGTGGAAGAAGGAGATGAAGGAGGAGGTGGAGGAGGAGGAGGAGTAGTGAGACAGACCTACACGACCACCTAGTGTGTAGCCAACCACCCCCTGTAGCTGCCAGACGCTCCTCCTGCAAAGATAAAAGACAAAACCTATTAATATTAACCAATAAAACACACACTAGGCGTAACCATAGATAACAGTAAACAAAGATAACAGTAAACAACAACAACAGTAAGCAACAACAACAGTAAACAAGAGATACGGAGAGAAAGAGGAAGGTAAGGGGCCAAAATTGCTTCATCTTTTCGGAGGATAACAAAGTTTGATCACCTGAGGAAGACAAACTTGTTTACTTCAGCTAAATTTGTTTACAGCTGACGTAAAGACAAATTTACTCTGTTTAGATCATTTTCTGTTTTGTCTTCTGTGTGTGTGTGTGTGTGTGTGTGTGTGTGTGTGTGTGTGTGTGTGTGTGTGTGTCCACCAACATTATAATATTTCACCCGAGTTAATCTCATCACACAACATTTTTCTCTTTGTGTTGACATTTTCTTCGTCTTTAATATTTCCTCTCCCAGTGTATCATTGTCCTCGCCTCTCTTCAGTCTCCTGTTATCGTCGTGTGGCTCAGCCTGGGTGCCTGCAGGAGCCACTCAAGCGGGTGTGTCTGTACTGCCACCAACACAACGTCTACACCTTGGGTCGTTAAGGAGCCTTGTGTTATACTGTGTAAGGTGTAGAAACTCACACTACACAACGTCTACACAACCCTGATAAACTAAATAAAATACTGAGATATTTCTTCCCCTCGCCTCGCCGCCCACCACGAGATGTTAAGGGGCGGGCGTGGGCGTGTGTGACCATCCCAGCACTAGTAACTCTTCGCCTGACCAATTTTTGTTTTTTTGCCCTCCAGTCCTTAAGGAGGAGCGTCTCTAGGACCAAAGAGAACTTATATCAAACACTCCTCCTACCTCCTCCTCCTACCTCTTCCTCCTCCTACCTCCTCCTCCTACCTCCTCTTCCTCCTACCTCTTCCTCCTCCTACCTCTTCCTCCTCCTCCTCCTCCTCCTCCTCCTCTTCCTCCTCCTCCTCCTCCTCCTCCTCCTACCACTTCTCTCTCAACTTAATGGAATTTGTCGTTAGGATCACCATAAGCGGCAGGATGTTGCAGGATGACTGACGAGGATGTGGCAGGAGGTAGGATGGGAGGTGAAGGAAGAACACACACACACACACACACACGACGGAGGAAAGAAAACAACTGCAAACAAAGATAACAACAACAGTAAACAGAATTAAGAGTAAACAAAACTGATAAATTGTGAGATAAATGTTTGTGTGTTTTTTTGGTAAATTTGATAATAACCAGAATTAAAACTCATATATAAAACTAACAAGACCAGTTATTACCAGAAACTTATCTATAATCACATCGTCAAGGAATAACTACAACAATTCATAAAATACTCACAATGTTAAGTCAATTGTTGCCTTTTTTCTATTTACTAACCACAGCCTCCCCCCCCCAAAGGTCGTATAGTCACCTCTTCTTCCTCGCCCTCATTATTCCACCTCACCTGTGTGTCTCTTACCAGCACCACTACGTCACACACCTGTCAGCACCACTACGTCACACACCTGCCAGCACCACTACGTCACACACCTGCCAGCACCACTACGTCACACCTGTCAGCACCACTACGTCACACCTGCCAGCACCGTCACCCCCACCCCTGCTGGCGTCAACACCGGTCATAGGTTCACCTCGTCACCTGGTAGGCTGTGGGCTGGAAGCTGACCAGGAGGAATGATGTTGTTTGTACCGTTATTAAGATTATATGTCTGTCTGTCTGTCTGTCTGTCTGTCTGTCTGTCTGTCTGTCTTGTTATTGATCGAGATAGGTTTTAACCCTGACACAACGGGAGGTTAACCCTAAGCTGAATAAATTTGTCTGGCGGTAGACAATAAAATTGCAAGTGGATGACAGGCGGTGAAAGGGTTAAGATTATCTATAAATAATAATAATAATAATAATAATAATAATAATAATAATTAATTAACGGTTTATTGAAAAACTTCTGCATCCCGAAGGCTGAAAATATACATTGGACATAAATGACTTATTACATACATTGGTGGTTTAACAAAAGCCTTCATTAGAGAAAGGTAAAGGAATATACAGTGAACATACAGATTAATGTAGGTGTTGAACAGCAAACTCGTAGTGTAGTAACTCCCTCCCAGATGGTGTTAGGAGGAACTCACGTGGTGTAGTAGTTCTTCACATATGTGTGTGTGTGTGTGTGTGTGTGTGTGCGTGTGAACAACAATACTTAGACTGCCCCAATACCAGATTAAAGAGCTCACGTCACCCATTGTTGTTGTTGTTGATTTTAGTCGTGGTAGTCCTCCTAGGTTATGTTAGGTTAGGTTAGGTTAGGTTAGGTTAGGTTAGGTTAGGTTAGGTTAGAGTTTCCCCCGGCTGTAGCATCAAGACTTAGGTTATGTTATGTTATGTTATGTTATGTTGTAATGTTATGTTATGTTAGGTTAGGTTAGGTTAGGTTAGGTTAGAGTTTCCACCGGCTGTAGCATCAAGACTTTAAGAGAGAAAAGGTTTATGAAGTAACGTGAAACTGACGATGTATCGACCTCTTGTTCCTCCAGTAGATGCCTCCCAAACCTAACCTAACCTAACTAGAACCATCAACCTAACCTAACCTAGTAGTTTTGGTGATGGTGGTAGTGGTGGTGGTAGTGGTGGTGATGGTAGTGGTGGGTGTAGTGGTGGTGATGGTGTGGTGGTGGTGGTGGTGGTGGTAGTGGTGGTAGTAGTGTGGTTTTGGTGGTGTAGTAGTAGCGGTGTTGGTAGTAGCGGTGGTGATGGTGTGGTGGTGTAGCAGTGGTGGTGGTGGTAGTAGTAGTGGTGGTAGTAGTTGTTTTGGTGGTAGTAGCGGTGTTGGTAGTAGCGGTGGTGATGGTAGTGGTGGTGGTAATAGTAGTGGTGGTGGTAGTAGTGGTGGTGATGGCGGTGGTGGTGGTAGTAGTAGTGGTGGTTTGCCCTCCCAATGCGTGTGTGACTCTTCCTATGACGTCGATCACGCCATGGTGTGCAAGAAAGGGGGCTTCATATGCATGAGGCATGACGAAGTAAGAGATCTCACTGCAAATATGTTGAAAGAAATCTGCCGTGATGTCAGGGTAGAACCGACCCTCCTTCCATTGGATGGTGAGAATTTCCAACATACAACTTCAAACACATCCAACGAAGCCCGTGTTGACGTCAGTGCTCGAGGATTCTGGACACGGGGACAGCGAGCCTTCATCGGCATCAAGATTTTTAATTCCATGGCCGCATGTCACCATAACTTAGCTCTCGATGCTGCACACAGGAGGAACGAGAACGACAAGGTAAGGGCATACGGGGAGAGAATTCAGAACGTTCGTTGATCAAGGCAGCTTCACTCCTCTAGTGTTCACAACCTCCGGTGGGATGGGACCAAGTGCAAGATGCTTCTACGCCAGACTCGCGGAGGTGATCTCCGAACAGAAGCAGCAGCCCAGAAGTTATGTTACAGCCTGGATGAGATGTCGACTGTTCTTCTCTCTCCTTAGGTCGGCTTTGCTCTTCCTCAGGGGAACGAGAGCATCGGCCCCAAAACCGACAACAGTTGCAGATATTGACTGAGGCAACAGTCACTGAATGCCGCATAGATCTGCGGCTCAACGAACTCAACACAGCTAGGATAGCTACTTGTGTATTAGGATATTTAATATTAAGGTAATAAAATGGTGGCGAAGGTGTGGCTATTGGGGGAGGCTGGAGGCCACGTTTGTTTGTTGTAGTGGTGGTGATGGTAGTGGTGGTGATGGTAGTAGTAGTGGTGATGGTAGTGGTGGTGGTGGTGGTGGTGGTGGTGGTAGTGGTGGTGGTGGTGGCGGTGATGTGAGTAAAGCCTAACTCCAGATCATTAATCTAGCTCCACCTCCCTCCCTCCCTCCCTCCATTCATCTATCTCTCCCTCCCTCCCACCCTCCCTTCCTCCCTCCCTCCCTCCTCCATCCTCCCCCACCCTGCAACCACTCTCATCCCTTTGTTAGGTCAGCCTGTGTCAGGTCAGTACTTGTTTAAGACTCTGCAGGAACCCAGTACAGTGTTGGGGTTTTGAACATAAAAAAGTTATATGACCAAACAAACTTGACCCATACCCTTTATGATCCAATCTGGAAGATTGAAGCACCCCAGCTGAGTTCCACCCTAGACCCAACCAAACCAAACCAAACCAAACCAAACCAAACCAAACCAAACCAAACCAAACCAAACCAAACCAAACCAAACCAAACCAAACCAAACCAAACCAAAACCAAAACCTAAACCAAAACCAAACCAAACCAAACCAAACCAAACAGCCAAACCAAACCAAACCAAACCAAACCAAACCAAACCAAACCAAACCAAACCAAACCAAACCAAACCAAACCAAACCAAACTAAACTAAACTAAACTAAACTAAACTAAACTAAACTAAACTAAACTAAACTAAACTAAACCTAACCTAACCTACATCTCAAATAATGGTTCCTTCTCAATATTGCTTCAAATGATGCAACATTGATCAGGCGAGGCAAGGAGGAGGAGCCACCACTACAACTCAATATTCAGCCTCAAGTAGTGTTAAGGGAGGTTGTTGCAACACTGTGGTAGTTGACGCCAGAGGGAGTTACTCAGTTGAACACAGACAGGACAGTAAAGAGGGCTGTAATGGCTGTCTGCTATTTCCTCCTGAGAGATGGGCTGTGGGCTGGGTTGCTGTGGGCTGTGTTGCTGTGGGCTGGGTTGCTGTGGACTGGGTTACTGTGGGCTGGGTTGCTGTGGGCTGTGTTGCTGTGGGCTGGGTTGCTGTGGGCTGGGTTGCTGTGTGTTGCTGTGGGCTGGGTTGCTGTGGGCTGTGTTGCTGTGGGCTGGGTTGCTGTGGGCTGGGTTGCTGTGGGCTGGGTTGCTGTGTGTTGCTGTGGGCTGTGTTGCTGTGGGCTAGGTTGCTATATCTGTATGCTGTGTGTTATATGTTGTGTGGGCTGTGTTGTTGTTGGTGGTGCTGTGTTGTGTTGCTGTGGGCTGGGT